GGGACCCCAGCCCGGCGCGTCCTCTAGGCCGCTCGGCTGCAGTGTCGTAAGCAGTGAGCACCCGTGACAGCGCCGAGGCAAGGGCCGTTTCTCACACGCAGAATTTAATCCGTGTCTAGTAAGCTCCAGTTTAGAAAGCTCTTGCAGAAGAGCGGGCATACAATGTGCGAGGGAGCCCAAAGGTGACAAGCCAGAGAGCTGCTGATGCGTGCCTGTCTACTGGGCCTGAAAAATTCTCAACGCGGTTCCCACGTCAGAAACCTCCAGATTCTTTCCCCATAACTTTTATTTTCCTTGTTTAATCCAAGCAGTTCATGTCTGAGCAATAAAAGACTAGGGGAGATTTTACTTCAAAGGAAACATGATCATTGAAAGTGGCTTACTGTGAAACATAGACCCACAGAAATACATTTTGTGGGATGTGAATAGGAGAGAATATCCCTGGGGAGGGCAGGAAATAAAGTTTTTTAGCGCTTAATAGCTTCTTTAGAAGCATAGTTAATTAATCATACCTATCAGTGTTCTGTGTGTTATACTGATGTCTGAAGTCTGCTTTATATACGATAGGTTGGATCTGGACCAGAGAATGTCAAAAAGAAATAGAAAGAGAGAAAAAAGAATATTATAAAAAACATCTGTCATTACAAAAAGACCTGGAAGCGAAATACCGGGATACAATCACAGAGAATCGTCGCACGGTTGCTCACCTGGAGCTGGAGCTTGAAAAGGAACGCAACAGAACCCTGAGTTACCGTGAAGCCCTCGTGTCCCAGAGTCGCAAACTAGTAGAAGAAAGAAGGATCCTTGAACAGGAGCAGGAGAAGTTAGAGCGAGAAAAACAAGTCCTTTTGCATTCGGGAGCAGCAGGTAACTTGTACCAGAGTTGTCTGGCAAAGGAAGAAGAGTGGCAAAAGAGAGCTAATATTTTACTAAAAGAATTTGAAGAGGGACTTAAAGAAAGACAGGACATCTACTGCAGTCTTCTTGTACCCAGAAGCCAGAGACTAGAAATAGAGAAAAGTCTGCTAGTTAAAGCAGCAACTGATCCTGTTGCTATGGCTCTACATATGGAAAGTGGCTTAAAAGATATTTTCAGACATGATCGCTACTGTGGCAATCTGATGAACAGGAACAAAAGTCAAAATGGAAGACTTATGTGGCTGTATCTGAAATACTGGGAACTAGCTATTGAGCTACAGAAGTTCAAGAGGGCAGAAAAGGCCATATTAGGAAAACAATAAGTGGGGGAAATAATGGGATTTCATGTGATCCACCATGCATAGTAGGGGCAATCTCAGTTGTAGTCCAAAGCTGTTAAATTCTCCTGCTGTGTTTCCGTATCTCCTCTTCGTTGCACTTGTATTTGCATGGGACGTGCAGTGTTGGTGCCTTTCCTTTCACTGTCTAACAACAGAGGCTTCGGTGAGCTACGCATGCTCTTAAACTCTCTGAGTGTGTTTGTATTGCAGACTGCAGTGTAGTATAGAGACATGCCGCCTTCCATAGGTATCTGAAGCAGCAAAACAGAACTCTGTTTAGAGTCATTTACCTGACTGATGGTCATACTCCATCAACAGAGAAGTGTGATTTGTCTCCCCCAAGTGGGGTAGCACGTTGCGCTCCATATCCCTGGTGTTTTACATGGTGTCTCATTTTATTTTTATGTTTTGTTTGTTTGTTTAAGCAAGACTGATTTTGAGGTGGATGTTTGGAGGAGACTGTGTTTGAGCAAGGTGCTTGTCGCATAAATTCTACATGTATATACATACATTTATATAAATATATATATCTGTAAATGTGTGTGTATAAATGTATGTGTTAGTATTCTGAGGGGGGGAATAGTATGATCATGTTTCAAATTAATCAGTTTTGCATTGTCTTCTAGCTTAATATATAAATAGTACTTTATGAGTGAAACATCCAGAAGACGCTAATTAAAATAACACCTAAAGGAACAGATTAATGAATGTCTCATTGGAGCTAGGGATCCGTGCTTGGATACTAGAGAGTGTGTAAACTTGTATACTCATCATACTGGAGATATGTTAAGAATACTGAACGTTTTTCTCTCAGAGTTTTAGCTGTAACCCGACAGTGTGCCTTCGTTACAGATGTCACCGTGCTGCTTCCGCTGCGTCGCAGCACGCTGGCTGGTACCTGGTCAGCTTGCAGGAACCTCCATGGGTTGCAGCCGTTGCACCTGGCTCTGTTCCTTGGACAGGTCCAGTTTGTTGTTCACAGATAGGAACCTCAGTGCACCCTGCACTGGTAGCCACTACCTCCCTCCTCAACTGTGTCAGTTCTCCCAGAACTGAAGTATGCTTTTCCACAACTCTTAAATTTTGAGCTTATGGGTCACCATTTCACATACACGTGACCATGAAAGCCTGTGGATATACAAGCTTTGCAAACTCTTGCAGTAAAAAAAACAAATTAGATATTAAAAAAAAAAAAAAAAAAAGCACCCCAGTGCATTTCCATGCTTGAAATCACTTAAAACTTTTGAGTATTCTTTGGGTCCTTGTAGCAGTAGGAACCACCTTCTTTTTCATATGTGCCATGTATTTCGGATAATAACTTTTTTCCTCCTCCTTTCTAACCCAGCCTTAGACCAGTGTTTGCCTGTTTGTTTATAACATCTGATCTTCTCTCTTACTTGACTTTGATTAGTGTTGCTGGGTTGTCAGTTCTTTAATAAGCAATTCTTTATTTACTGAGGGCTAAACTTCACAAACACATTTGCTCTAGGCAATCAGCTACTGTGTGGCCCAGAAGCAATCCAGCTACGTGAATGCCCATTTAACAGAGAACTCCCAGCAGATGTGGGCTTTTCTTTTGTTATTTCCTCCTGGGTTCATTTCAGCCTAGGCACAGAAGACAGCAGAAAAATCTTCTGAAGTAGTGGGTGCAACCTAATCCCAGTTACTCAGCAAAAATACTGAACATAAAATTCTTAAACAGAATGTATGTCTCCCAACTACTCAGTTTTCCAGTTGTGATTTTGTTCGCCTTGCTGGTGCTGGTTATACTGTTGTACTGATTTCTTAGTCTCTTATATACTGATTTAAATTTATTTATATTATTAAATAAAGTTGTAGTAGACAGACAGACCAACCTGAAAAAAAAAAGAGAACCATCACGAACACCGGAAAAGCCAAAATTTGTCTGGCTGCCAAGCATATGTGGGTTAGGAGATGAGATTGCAACTGAGTTACTACTCTTGTGTGACAGCCGGAGCCAAGCTGCTGTGGCTGGCCATATGCACATGCCCTAATTGCCCAGTAGAATAAATTAGTATGAACAACTAGTTATCCTGTGTGTAATTCCTGCAGGATGTGGAAGGTGTCTGACCAGACAGCTGTGGCGTGTTTCAGGTGTAGGTACAGGCAGTTAAGCAACTCAGCTGGCAAACAGCAGCCAGTGAATCAATGCCAATGTGTTTAAGACTCATGCCTTGACTTTGTATGTATTTGTGAGTTCTCAGTATGAAGAGATCAAACAGTTTATACTTTTTCATTTTTTTTCAGTTTGTCACTGACATCACTCAGAATGTTTAAAGAAAATGTAATCAAGAGGGTAAAATACTTTTTTCAGTATAAATACCTAAATTGAAGCATCATATGCTTGATTGTACAGGGTTGGATGCAACGTAGTAAATGTTCGATACTCGCTTTCACTTCTTTAGAAGTGTCAATTATTTGTACAACTAATGGTTGAACTATTGTTCACGGACGCTTTGCAGATCGGTATATTACGACTGAAGAGTTATTTGAGGAGGATTTTTTAAAGTGTGTAACTGGTTTAGAAGCACAGGTCCTGTTAGGTTCTACCGAAACTCACGTTTGTTTGGTGTGTTACGTATTTTTGAAAGGTTCCCCCTTTGTATGTTGTTATGTTGAAAGTTCTATTGTGAGCTTTATGTTGCCCAACAGCTATTGTTCAGGATTGGTTATTTGTTTGGAAATGCCGGTATATATGTAGAATGCAAGAATAATTTGTTTTTGAAAGATTTAATGAACTTTTTTTGGTTATGAAAATGGTCACTCACCTATTAAACGAACAATAACAATAAAACCCCTTACATATTTCTGCGTTGTTTTGTAATGTGAGCAAGGTGGGTGGGAGGAGTGGGATTTGCTATTTTATTCCAGCTTTCTAAGGAAATTGCATAATTTTAAGGTTTTACAAATGGGACAGTTTTTAAATTGGCGTGTCAAAAGTTTTGGTCTTCGTGCAGAAAGAGGGTGTGTTGGACAGTTTCTTTTCTTTCATGGGAATGAACAGCATCGTTAAACAGGTAAGTGCACCAGCTGTAACTGGAGATGAGTGATTAAAGGTGACCATCTCACCGAAAGACTGGGGTAATACCTTCTGTCTGTCTGTTGTGTGGGGTATTCTGCCTTCCTCCAGAATCCCTCACGTGTCTCAGTCTGCACACCAGCTCCTTTTTGTTTCCCCATGTGGATTTTCTTGTTTTCCTGCTCTCTGTGAAGAACTACAATGCAGCTGCTTGAGGACAGTGTTCAGACACACTGGGAGTCCTTGTTCCCTTCATAAAAGATCCTTAATCTCTTTGACACAATAGTTTGCATTTACCCATCCCTGGTCTTCACATGGAGAATCCCATCCTTGTGAAATACTGGAAATAAAGAATAGAGGACAGCCTGTTATCAAACAGAGAAGAGCTGGTATTAGATCTGTTATTGTGACCAGTTTAAAATTACCACACTGTTCAAGTGTTGGAGTTTGGGGGATGCGTGTATTGTTCAGGTGGGTCACGCATCCGGGGAGTCACAGCCCTGCCTGAAAGCTAGACACACACAGGGTGTAAGAGGTGTCCTAGGCCTGTTATGGAACGGAGGGCAGCGGGTTCCTTTCCAGAAGAAAAAGCTTGGAGGTCCTGGTGGTGGTGCTGGGTTTGGTGGACGGGGCTCCAGGTGTCTACCTGGCAGGTGTCCACCTGGCAGGTGTCCAAGGAGGAAATGTCCCTCGAGGAGGTGTTCAGCCTCCTCCGAGTCCTGGTGAGGTGTACGCTGAGAGTGTCTACGCGCATGGGTTTCACCACTTCACAGCTCATCTGTGCCCAGTCTGTACCCTGCTGGGCAGTAGCTGTGTTAATACAACTTTCCACATTTAGACTCGGGCAAGGGAATGCCCTGAGACATCTCAGCTTTCAATAAAAGCAAAGAACACGTTCCGTTTGACCTGTCTGTTGTGTGATACAGCTGCTGTCCTGCGTGCGTGCAACGCAAAGAGAAAGACAAAACACGCTCTGGACTTCACAGAATTTAGGCTGAGTACAAGAAGATGGAAATCTTCCTTAGAAAATGCTCCTGAAGGGGAGTGGGTAGAGAGGAGCAGCCCTGAGGATCTGGCCTTTTCTTGCTTCTTGGGCCTCAATAGGAGCTGCCAGCAAACTGCTGACATGACAACATGTCTTCCTCAAAGGCGTGCTGTGCTTTGGAAGGGACAGCTCGGTTCAAATCCCCCTGAAGGGAAGGGTCTGAGGAAGCCACCCCTTGCAGTTCCTATTTTCAGTTAAGGAATTGACCGAACCATCCATAATTTTATATAGGCAGTAAAACTGTTTCTGCCTATGCAAAAATGGACACATAGGGCTGTCCTTTGCTTGGAGTTTAAATGTGTTTCTTACATGGTTTAAGATAATCAACAAAAACTGATCATGCATACACTGTGGTGGTCACATATGTCCATAGGTCAGCTGGATTATAAGAATTCACCAGAACAACAGTTTGAGGAGTCTCAGTCCATCTGGCTGAAGACACCATGGAGGGACGTTTGCAGCATCAGCAGCAGAACTCGAACTAATGACTGGCAACATGTGTACTGCACCGTATCAAGGAACATAGAACTATTTTGATACTGAAATCAACTTATGTGGCAAAACTGAGAAACCTATCACAATCTGATCAACCATCTTAATATTCTTTCCGTGGATTCTGACAAGCAGGGTAACAAAATCTCAGCCTATTAATGGGTGACAAAGAGGCCATATAGCTGAACCTGGCTGCTCTGAGAGTGTACAATCACTCCAACTTGTCATTCAATATACCAGGAAAAAACATTCCCTTCATGGGCAGTATTCACAGAACCAGCCAAGGCCTCCTGCTGAGTGAGACCCAAACATGCCCTCTGGTTCTGAAGTAAGAAGAACTATCTGAGCATGTGGTCAGATGAAACTTGATCTGGAAGTGCCACTGCACATCCGGATTTGAAAAAGAAGCATGCTGAGGCAGTTACCAACAAGGTTAGAGTCAAACAAGGGGATCCAATCTCGCCCAATCAATTACTCTGCAACCTAGAAAAAGGCGGCTATGGATTCCACCAGTGCAAATACCATGGTGTGGCAAAAATAAATTACCGCCTTGACCTTTGCTGATGACTCGGTCCTGCCAAGCCACACATGGGGGAGGATGCAAA